AGAATAAAAATGAATGTTCCATAATCAACTTCTACAGTTTTTACAATATTTTTCTATAGGATAAGTGTCAAATAATAGAATCAATAATATTTTCACTTAATATTGTTTTACTTGAATCTTCCCATTGCTGTTTAAGACAACAATTGTGTGCTTATTACCCCGATATCGCCTTAAGTCACAAACATTCTAAGCAAAGATGGATGTTGGCTAATAATGGAATCCAGTTTCATACACGTTTCGTCCTATTCCGGACTCGTCAAACAGATATACTTGCATCCCACAGTTGATATTCATTCCAAGACTCAAACCCAATATCGTTCATTTCAAACACCATCATCACTTATAAACTAAATCCTGATAATCACGTGCTTATACAATATGGAAAAGTTTACATTCATCCAGTGTTGTTTACTTGTATCTTTTCATGAATGTTTAAAACTATAATTATCCCAAAACTTTTTTTGTTGCTTCTTTTTCTCAAACAATATCAATATCATTTACTTGTTTTTTGTAGTTTTTGTTTACACAATTTCATTTTGATTCCTTTCTTATACCCCCTATCCATATTCATATAAAATAAACAATATTCATATTATAAATAGGGGATAGAAACAAATTAAATATTGAACAAAATCCATTTATTTATTTTTTTTTTTAGAAAAAAAAGAAAACAAAAAAAACAACAAAAAAATTATTGTCAATGATGAATTAGGAAAAATGTTTTTTTGTTTTTTTCTTTCAAGAAAGAAAAACAACGAAAAAAATCATTCTGCTAAAAAGTCATCTTGTTGTTGTTGTTGTTGTTGTCGTTGTTGTTGTCGTCGTCGAAATGTGTGTTGAATTATTTTTATTTATTTACTTACTTTTTCCTTTTTTTGCTTTGAAAATTTATTATTAAAATCATTCAGGCATAATTTTATTTAATTAAAAAAAAGAATAATTAAAAAAATAAAAATAAGGAAAAGAAAAAAACAAAAAGAGAAAAAAGAAAGAAAAGAAAAAAAGAAAGAAGAAAACGAAAATAAAACTCAATTTTTCAATGTTCTATAGACATGTGTCATATGTAATATTATTGTCAATGAACGAAGTAAATAAAAATGAACATGAAATTTAAGATTTAAGGTGTCAGTAGTAGAGGAGGGTAGAGGAAGTGGGTGGGGAAAGCATGTTTCAATTAATTCTAAATGAAATTTTTATGAAAATTTTTAATAGACTACTTATAAATAATAAAGAAAAGCAAGATTCTACACTACAACACAATAAGCCATCAATCGAATCACACTTAGTGGAAAAGATTTGGAAAATGTAACAATCATTACATATTTGGGCTGCATCATTGATGAACACGGTGGATTGGATGAAGATGTGAAGGCGCGGATCGACAAAGCAAGAGCAGCATATTTACAATTGAAGAATATCTGAAACTCAAAATATCTGTCTGTCAACCAAAACCAAGGTCAAAATTTTCAATATAAATGTGAAGATAGTTCTACTGTATTGGGCGGAAACTTGAAGAAATATGAAAGTCATCATTCAGCAGATACAAGTGTTTATCAACATCTGTCTACGCAAAATACTTCGGATCCGTTGGTCAGACACTGTCAGCAACAACTTACTGTAGGAGAGAATAAATCAGATTGGAGTGGAGGAAGAAATCAGGAAGAAGCGCTGTAAGTGGATAGGACACACATTGAGAAAGTACTGAACTGTGTCACGAGGCAATCCCTCACTTGGAATCGTTAAGGTTGAATAAAGGAGAAGTGGGAGATCAAAGAACACATTACGCTGAGAAATGGAGATAGACACGTGACGAATGAAAAAGAGTTGGATAGAACTGGAAAGGTAAGCCCAGGACAGAATAGACTGGTGAATGCTGATGGGCAACAAGCGTAAGTAAGTAAGTAACTTATAAATAATATAATAAATTTAATGAGTAGTAAAACATTATAAGGATTATGTTCTTTTTTAGTTATTAGTAATTGAAATCTACTTCCATTCCATTATTATGAAACTTGAGAAAAAAGGCTTTGGACGGAGAGGGACGGCTTATTTCAATGAATTCCTTCTTATCGTCTGATCATGTGCTCACTAGCGACTAGTTTTGTTAGTGAATTCTCGGAGGTCTAATGAGAAGCCGTGATCAGTGGAGTTAATCCGTGTCGGGTAGAGACAGGTATCTACCTCGGTACAATGGAATATGGTCATGCAATTTCTTGGATTGATTGAGGTTAGATATCCTGTCCTCGGCAATCCTTTCCAGCTCTTTCCAGTTGTTATTCATCCTTTTCATACATGCTTCTATTTCTCAACGTTATGTGTTCTTTGGTCTTCTTCTTTCCCGTTTCCCCTCAAGATTTCAAGTTAGCACTTGTCTCGTGATGCAGTTTGGTGATTTCCGTAATGTCCTATCCATTTCCATAATCTTTTTCTAATTTCCTCTTCAGCTGGAAGTTGCTTTGTTCTCTCCCACAGTGGGCTGTTGCTGATGGTATCCGGCCACTGGATGATGAGTGTCTTGCGTAGACAACTATTTATAAATACTTTTACCTTCATCTGTAGCTCTTCTAGAGTTACTGCCGGTCCCAGGCCCAGGTAAAGGAGGAGGGTTTGGCATGGGGTCGGCAACCCTATCCCGTAGAGAAAAAATCTTGCTAAAAGACGCCAACCACATTAAACAAATTAATGGGAGAGAAGAAACCACATTTCAAACGAAGAAGAAACTCGGAAAAGATGATAGAGGTGGGTAAGATATATACTGAGGAAATCATCATACTGCATCACGAAGCAAGCGCTACCTTGGCATCTTGAAGGGAAATGAAAAATAGAAAGATTAAAGGACATACAGGATCTGGATTTAAAAACAGACGTCAAAATAATGATTAGCTACTGGAAACAAGTGGAAAGTAGTGTCGAGGACAGTGTTTCAGGAAGAATACTGGTAGGTAGCCTATGTTAATCCATCAGTGGCAACAGGCGAAAGTAAATATGACGATCAAACCATTTTATTTAATTTCTGTGTATTAGACATTAAAATAGTGATATTTTAATAATGTAACTTGGATACTACTTCCAAATGCTAATCACCTGGTAATGTATCATCAATGAAAAGCTATATTACCTTGCGGATTCTTCTTAGACATAACAGAAGTTCAGTTTAATTTTGGTAACAATACAGTCTTCTTAGCCGTTTTTAAACTAATTAAGTTTTTTTTTTCACGACAGAAAAAATGATACTTCTATAGCTCATCAAGATCATGAACCGAGTGATGTTAGACCACCACTGAAAACCTGGAAGTACTGGGTGTCCGTTTCGACCTATTGAGTGACTCATCAGAAGTGCGCACCCACGATTCAGCCCGCGTGTTTCGAGCCCAGGACCTTCGGTCTCGCACGTGGTCGCCTAACCAACGTAGTAGATCTCATTGAGGACATCGAAACTTGCATTCGGTTAAAATAAAGAGTTTCGTATTGTGGTTTATTTGATTAAGAGGTTTATGAAATAATCAAGTTAAACCAGTAAATCTGTCAGCTACTCTGAAAAAAGCCTTAAGTGATAGATGTATATATAATGATTCAATTACACATTTGATATTTGGTCTAAGTCTGTTAGGATGATACGATAATGCCTACTAGTTAGTGCTTGAATAATACAAATCGCTATACCCTTCACAAGACTGTTCACGGATTAAACAAGTGTCAATGAACTACTGGGTGCAAATATTTTTTACTGACAAAAATCAACTCGTACCAATTCTGCATTTCATGGTTTCTTATTGATCACCTTCTAACATTTAACGTGGAAATATTATACACTAAAATTATGCTTCGTTCAAAACAATGAACGACAGCCATTACAAATTTCCAGTATGGTGTTATGAAGATTGTTGAGTTTTTGATTGATATCGTGAATCGGTCGATGTTAGAACACCATTGAAAACCTGAAATCACTGAACGGCCGTTTCGTTCTAGTATGGAACACCTTAGTAGTGCGCATCCACGATTCCTTATTTGAGATTTGTCGATCCCAAGAACGTTCTGACACACGAACACTTAAGCTCTATACCAATAAATCAGTATCCAATAGTGTTAATGTCTAACTTCAACCAATCCATGAAATTGTGAGATCATCTACTAAGGTAGATATTTGTCTCTACCCGACATAGATTAACTCCACTAGTCACAGTTTCTCACTAGAATTCTAAGAATTCCCTTTCATAACTAATCACTAGTAAGCATATAGTATAAATATGAACTACGAAACCAAGATATGTCAGTGTCTATCTTGTTTTAATTTGGTTTATTCTTCATTCATTTGTTGTCATCATTCATATGATGAACAAATATGAACTTGATATAAACCATAAGTCAGTCAGTCAGCTACAACGTAGGTCCAGGCACATATATGCATCGGTCCAAGTTGCCATACCTCATTAGCACAACAAGATGGATACCGGATTCATACAAGTAGCTAATGCAGAGGTGGTAATATATAAAAGAAAGATTTCAATAAGGATATAGTGCAGGAAGAGAGAAGCAACCGACCTATACTGGCTGGAACAACCGTTCCTCAAGGTCCTACCATGTCAGACAGGTCGGTTGAAGAGCGGTAGGACCAAAAACAACAAACCTAAGGTCCGAAGGCGAAGTCGTACTGCTGACTGTACACAGGTGTGACAGCAGTAAGGTGTTTCCTTCAGAAAACCAGTATGACAGCGATGCTGCCTTCCCACAAGGAGGGGTGGGGTTAGAAAAAGTCGACTCTAAAAATGCACACCTCGCCTTATCCCACGTATATCCGTCTCCGGCGTTAAGGTCTCAACAAGCACGGAGTTAACACGAAAATTGCCCATAAAAAGGTCGTGTGTGACCGACCTCAAGCAGTTGTCTCTTGGGCACTGCGGTCACGCCCTCAGGTCACTAAGACCACCTCTAATCCAATTTCCTTTTCAGGCACCTCCATAAACCATAAGTAGTCGACATTGAATGAAAGAAATAGAAATACATTACATAACATTCACTATATTATTGTCATGAAATATCATATTACATCATCTTCAACGTTATTACTTCTTCTCCTTCTTCTTGTTCATTGAAGCACATGTGATGATTTAATTAAACAAATAGACAGTTCATAATCATAGATATAATAGCATTGAAAGCAAACTATAAATCAACTTGAATACGAAAAATTATATAATCAAATAGGTTTAATGAAATGAAAGCAATAAGACACATAAAGTGTGTGTTTGTATATATGTGTGGATGTGTGAGGGGGTGGGGGTGGGGGTAGGGGTGGGATGGGATGGTAGAAATACAAAATGCTGATAATTACATTTGTTATTATTATCAAATTCAAGATAGAAACATTATGAAATAGTAAAAAAAAACAACGAGAAGAAAAAAAGAAAAGAAAAGCACATGGTGCACTATTGAATGAAGGGGGGTTATGTTATTTTTTTATTAGAAGATATAGTCAGTGACCATATGAATGACTGATGAGAATGATAACCATGGTGATGATGATGTTGTTGATCAGGATGATGAGGATGAGGATGAGGATGAAGCGGAAGGCAATAGTGATGACGTCATACAATTGATGAATATATTACTTAAAAGAAATATAATCAACTGATTAAATGTCTATAATTTGATAAGCACAAAAACTGTATTAGCTAACTAAGCATTAAAGTATAGATTTAATCATAAAATGCATTAGCATACATTGCTTAGTTTATTATGTAAGAGATAAACAAGCAAACTTGATTGTGTTGAATACTTTCTATTGTATAGTTGTCTTATAATCAGCTGATCAGACATTTTATTGACATTCATAGAATATTCCATGCTGTTGTTGAGGCTTCTATTATTTGCTATTCTATTCCGTTTCTTTTTTGGCAGGGGGGTAAGATGGGGTGGGATGGGTTCTTTATTCATTTTCACTACCAGTTATAATATTGTAGGAAGCTGTAAAGGAAAAGAAAAAAACGAAACAAAAACATAAATAAAAACGAGTTAAGAGACCATTATGATCATTATGGATGCGCACTGCTGAGGAGTCTCACAATATGATGAAACGGCCGTCCAGTGCTTCCAGGTTTTCAGTGGTGGTCTGGCATCAATCGGTTCATGATCTCAATCAATAACCTAATAATCTCCACAATGCTATACTGACATTATGAAAATGTTTATTGTTCAAATAAGATATAAAGAATGTCAGTATAGGATCGTAGAGTTCAATACTAAGATGAAATAGTCATCCAGTGTGTTATCTCCAGACGAAGAATCAATGAATAGTAACTGCAAGGATCTATTTATGGACCAATATGATATGAACATTCTTATTGTATGACCATTAAGTAACTAGTTTATATGTATATTTATATTCCTTTTATTATAAGCTCCCAATTGACCTAATAGCTACTGTTATTTGACTTACTATTCATAAGTTACTCCCAATTTATTAGTTAAAGTTCCTCACACTCACAGACACTTTTGACCTGATCTTGCATAATGTTTGGTTTCAATTTATGATATGATGCAGTCTGGTTTGTTTGTATATAAACCAGTTATGCCTGGAATACAGGATTCATATAACGGAGGTTAATATTAGTGTTCTGGACTAATCCGGATGGGTTAGACGAGAATCTACTATCTCACAGGACCAATATGAACACATAGTTGACTGTAGGTTGCTCCTACTAGATGACGCATCGTTAGTTAAACACAGGGATATGGTCATCTAAATCAATGTTCTGATTGGCGTGATACTTGACAGGGCTTCGGATGCAACATATAGACATTTTTAAAATAAAGACAATATCACGTATATTAACAGAGAAAGCTTCATTTAAAGTAACTATACTTTGATAAATTATTATGTAACACCATCAGGTACAATTCAAGATGATCGATTGCTTTCACCCGGTTACAGTAGATATACCGAATGAGCGATATAAATATATTATGTGTAATGTATTTTCAGTTTATTATTCATCGAAGTTTCAGAGTATATTAGTAAAAGAAAAAAAAACTTAGTATTATTTGCTTGTATTTTACCATTGTTGTTCAGGACTGCGATTGATCAGTCTCTTGTTGGCAAATGTAGATCCTGTGTGGATTGCCTCGATATTACCTTAGGTAATTTTAAACTTCACCGCATTACACAGGCAGGTGGTTACCAGGACTCAATAGCTTAGTGGATGATGCGATGGCGTTTGAAGCGAACGGTATTGCGTTCGAGTCCTGGATTGAACATCAACTACAGGTATGAGGGTATATACAGTTGACGAGTCCAAAATAGGACGGAACGCGCATCCTGAATTCCACTACTAGCTACTATACATCTTTGCTTATAAAACTTAGCGGTTTGTTATAATGAAGTGGATCTTAGCGTATATTCATTAGTCTATACAGAATATAATCTAGAATTTTCCATTATCTCAATGAGATTTATTTAAACGAAGGCGATATTCTCGAATATTTGAGTTACCTGTTCTTGTCATCTATATAGCTCAACAAGTTCTCTACTTCCTTACATGTTTTAACACATCAATATATCAGTGAATTACGTAATCTATTCAGGTACATTTGTCAAAAAATGTAGAACCTTTCGTTGTACAAGTTACAAAACGCTCAACTATAGATATCGTGGTTGCTGGCAATATACATCGAAAAGAATGAAGATTATACAGACATCGATTCCTGAACAGTTAACATCTAACTGCTGATTACTCAATATGTTATCGTTAGGATTGACCAAGAAGTAAGAAACGGGAACTCTATGAAATTCTTTATGCTGAGTATTTTATATTGTACCAAAAGAAATAATATTGAATGAAGCCACTAATAATAATGCTGTGATCTCCAAGGTTTTCAATTCTGGTCCTACATTTGACTCTAAGTTATGTTAGATATCTAATCTACGAAGGAGTTTTCAAATAGGTTAAATTAACCATCTTAATGCTTCCTTACTTTGTAAATAAGAATATTTCATTGAAGTTCTTAATAAGACAAACTAAAAAATAAATTAACACCATGAATGGATTGATGTTAGAGTACTATTGAAAACCTGGAGTGTTAGTGAAAAACCATGATCAGTAGAGCTCAACTTTGTCTGGCTTAAGACAATTACTCACTGAAGATAATGGTGTACGGTCGGCGCAATATCTTGGATTGGTGGATATTAGACATTAACAACGTTGGATACCGACTCATTCGTCTGAAGGTTAAGCGTTCGTGTGTGAGACCGAAAGTTCTGTGTTCGAATCCCACATGAAGGATCGTGGATACTTCCTGCTGAAGAGTTTCATACTATGATATAATAGACATCCCATGCTTCCAGATTTTTAATAGTAGTTTCTCATCTATCCATTCATGATATCAATCCAATCTCAACAAACTCCATATAACGATCCTTTTTAAAGTCATATGCTAATTCGATAAAGAACATAAAGACTATGATTCTCCTTTTAAAAAAATACAGAACATATTACGTAATGATTCTATGAAATAATAATTTATTAGCCAAGTTTCTTTTTTGTTCTAACGTGATATAATGGAAAGATGAAAATTACCAGCGTACACGATAGTGTAACTCATTTATTTCCATGTTGAATCAAATTAGCCATGATTAAAGTTGTAAAAACAAAAATAAGAAGGGAATATTAGATATTTGAATCAGGAGCAGAAAAGATTATGTCGTCAGCTGTAAATTTATTAAGCTATTTCACTTTCATACTTGCTTAGTTACTTACACCTGTGGCTCTCAGTCAGGCATAGGCTGACGAATAGAATTCGATCAATCACTCTGTTCTGAGCATTCCTTTCTAGTTCTATCCAATTCTTGTTCATTCTTCTCAGATCTGTCTCCATTTCTCGGCGCTATTTGTTCTCTGGTCTCCCACTTCACCTTTATTCAACGTTGACGATTCCAAGTGAAGATTTGCCTTGTGACACAGTTCAGTGCTTTCTCAATATGTGTCCTATCCACTTCCACAGCCTCTTCCGCATTTCTTCCTCTTCTGAAATCTGGTTTGTTCGCTCCTGCAGTAAGTTGTTAATGATTGTGTCTGACCGACGGATCCGAATTATTTTGCGTAGACAGATGTTGATAAACACTTGTATCTGCTGAATGATGACTTTCATATTTCTCCAAGTTTCCGCCCAATACAGTAGAACTGTCTTCAAATTTTTATTGAAAACTGTGACTTTGGTTTTGGTTGGCAGACAGATGTTTTGAGTTCCAGATTTTCTTCAATTGTAGATATGCTGTTCATGCTTTGTCGATCCGCGCCATCACATTTGCATCAGATCCAACGTGTTCATCAATGATACAGCCCAGATATGTAATGATTGTTACATTTTCCAAATCTTCTCCATCAATTATGATTTGATTGATGCATGTTGTGTTGCATCGAAGAATCCTGCTTTTCCCTTTGTATATGTTGAGACCTACTGATACTGAAGCCACTGCTACACTGTATTTGTAGGTTTTCGAAAGTTGCATTTGCGATAGAAGAGCTAGATCATCTGCGAAGTCTAGATCATTCAGCTGCATCCTAGCTGTCCACTATATCCCGTACTCCCCCCACAGATATTGACGTCTTCATGATTCAGTCGATCACCCGGAGAACGAGAAAGGCTGAGAGTAAGCAACCTTGCCTGACAACGGTCTTTACTTCGAACTAGTCTGTGAGCTGTCCTCCATGCACGATTTTGCAGTTTAATCTACTACGGGAATTCGGTATGATGTTGACTATATTCTAAAGCCGTTTTAGTGATCCATTACTTTGACGGCAATTAGATCAGACGATGTTATCGATGGGCTTACTACTTTTGTAGCCCTGTATTTGACTGTGATTAGATTGTAGGAATGATTGTTATCGAAATAATTTCTGTCGAAATATACATCATGACTATTCTCAATTATATAATCATCGACTTAAATCACGTTCGTGAATAACGTAATTAAATAAATCAAATACGAGAATAAATTTCAAACACATGTATTCTATTTAGTCGTTAATTCAGACAAAGGACCGAAGAAACAAAGCGAAGCGAAGAAAGCAAAGTGAAATGACGTACAGTAGAGAAGACGTGTAAGCCAGTTCCATTTAATCAAGCGTTAATCTATATTTATAGTCATACAAATATAAGTTACAGACATGTGATAAGAAGTAGGATAAGGAGTGAACACATACGCTTTTTGACTACTTACGCCTGCTACTCTTCGTGGAGGAGCATAGGTCACCCACCAGCACATACACACACATACGCTTATGTAAAAACAGTCAAAGTTGATAAGCGATTAATTAACAGGCTAGAATAAGCTATATGTGCTTGCATAGCACTACACCATATTATTACTATTATTATTATTATTATTATTATTATTATTATTATTATTATTATCAAATTACTGTAATGATTACGCAACTCAGTCTAAGTAGCTGATTAGTCTTTGTATAGTGTAACTAATTTTTATTCAGTAAGATCATTCTAGTTAGTGACAATTTGTTAGTAAGCAAGTTTAGTAGAGCTTATTACGTAATGAAGAAGTCTCTATCCTTCTAGCTGAGGAGGAAATCAGGAAAAGACATTGGAAGTGGATAGGATATACATTACGGAAATCATCAAACTGCATGATGGGTGAAGCCCTAACTTGGAATCCTGAAAAAAAACGGAAAAGAGGAATGCCGAAGAACACACTTCGTCGGAAATCGGAAGCAGACATCAAAAGGATGAATGGGAATTTGAAAGAACTGGAAAGAATTGTCGAGGATATGGTTGGCCTATGTTACTCCAGAAGGGGTAACAGGTGTAGGAAATTAAGTAATTCTGAAATTTAACAATTACGTTACATATAAAATGGTATACGAACATTAGCTGCTCATTGCTAATCAAATTCGTATAGTTATTTAAACTGTGTGTACTTATTCAGTTGCTGTTAAGCATATAGATTGTTC